ATTATATTATTATTATTATTATTATTATTATTATTATTATTATTATTATTATTATTATTATATTATTATTATTATTATTATTATTATTATTATTATTATTATTATTATTATTATTATTATTATCATCATCATCATCATCATCATCATTATTATTCTTATTTATTACTTAGTATTATTATTACCGTTATTATTATTATTAATTCTGTTATTGTTAAGATATGGCCATTTACTGCACCATCGCCAGTTACGACACAAATTATAGCCACTTCATCATCTCCACATACGATGATATTGTTGAAATGAATTGTATAAAATGCGCTTCATCACTATCCAAAAAAGTAATGCTCGGACAATGCCTTAGTTCAAAATAACAGCCGAGGCTCTGCCAATATTTTGGATGGTTAAATTGTATTTGGTTTCAAATTATGTCCAACTTACTGAATTTGCAGCAATATGCATTGCGCTTTTTTCTTTTTTGGTAACTTTTTCTCTATGAGATTATGTTAATAATTTTAATTAAATGGTTTTAAAATGTATGAAGCTTGATGATGCAATAAGAAATTAAATGGTTGTAATTATGTCTGAACATTAATTTACAATAGAACTATTACTGAATGCTTTAGAAGTGGAATATTTAAGGTAATATCTAATATTCCGTTTCAAAAATCTATTCAATATTGTATCCACTACGCATACAATTCAAATATTTACAGCGTAGAATATTTGTGCTGGATTAATTTGTATATATCGTTTGAAAGAAGGGAGAAAAAAAAAAGTTATCATCTGATATAATCATGCAAATATACCTTCAGTATGCGAATTAAGAGTGTAAAAGGTGATAAAGACAAAATCTTGTCTCACAAACAAACTTTATTTTTAACAAAAACATATTTGCTTCAAATAAGATTCGAAAAACGTTTTACGATAAGAATGGTGATAAAACAGAAGTCAAGAAATTCACATTTGTTTAGCAATTAGAAATTGCTTCTTGATTTCTGGATATAATAATCAATTATTCACAGAGTAACATAAAGAACAAAGTTTAACAAAGCAGACAATAAAACGTATAATAACAAAGTTTGTTTGATAATAAAACGATATAAGAGGCTGACAAACCTAGACATTAAAATATTTTCACATGATGTTCTAGTTTAAATTTAGTTCTCGAACATATCCTGATATTCTTACACGATGATCCTTTAAAAAAAATATCATTAAAAAATATTATTCACAAAATCGAGGAAAGTAACCTGCAAAAGTGAGCTTATGAAAGGCGAATGACAATTTCAGCAAAGTTTTCCTCTTGTTCGACTTTAATTTTTTGTTCCGCCAACAGCTCTAAAATTATTATTACTTTTGAAAAGGAAATATGCAAAAAAAAGCTTTCGATCTTTCACATTACCGTCAAAAATCAACTTATGAACAATGCAAATGGAATCTGGGATAAAATTAAAATATTATTTTTAAAATGATGCCATTAATTATTCAGATTTATTATTGTCCAGCTAGTAATTAACTCTACAACTAAATAGGCTAAAAGAACACACCGAGCAGATTTGTAAAAGCTTTAGCTGCAAATACTGCAGAGCGACCGTGAATTAATTCCGAAAAATATAATGTTGAGACCTTGTGAAAATTGAGAAATTCAGTTATCAACCTGCAAAACATTCCAAAAAATATAGCTAAAATGTAGGTTCGAATTTATATTTATTAAAAACAGCTTTAAATTCAGGAATGGAATCTCATATTTCTGGTTGAGTAACACTGAGAAGTATGGCTGTAGTTCATTCTAAAGCTGAAAATCATTCTAGCTGTACTGATAGCTATCCATAACATAATTTCCCGAAGCATAAAGTGGAAGTAATTAGTTGCCAAAATTAATTCAAGCAGCTCCTCCACAGAACAACAGTACTGTACCAGAAAAAAGTATCAACATAACTAATATGATGATGGGTTTATAAACAATTCTAGCTATTACATATTAACGAGAAAAAAGATACTCAAAAAGATCATGGGCCCTCTGTGTTTGATAGTATACTGGAACGGAACTGTCGCCCGTTTCCACCGTACTTTCCGCTTTATAAGCTTTCAATTGAAATCGATCCTGCATTACCGAGATCTTCTGGATGTTTACTTCATTTTGAGGACCTCCTTGCTGCATTTCATACTCCGAATATCTCTCATCTATAACAAAATCACTGTGCCTTTTTGAAAATTCATAAATATTTATATTTCAAACTTTTAAGTCATAAAAATAATACTAAGTCATAATAATAAGTGCATTGTAACATAGATCTCTAAGTGACAGATATGATTCACTTAAATTATGAAAAAACATACCAACAAGAATATTTTCAGTACTACTATCCAGTTTCGTTCCACGTAATTCAGATTCTGCAAAATTATGAAGTATAAAAAAAATCAGTTTGTGACTTATCATAGATTTAGACCGGAAGAATTGACTAACTCTTGTCATGAATAATCATTTCCACCAAAAATTCTACTGTACCTACCAATCGTCAAGTTTGAAAACAAATTTGTGATTCGAGGTTTTTCCGCCGATAAAGTGAAGCTGTCATCCATGCGCTGCAAATCGAAAATAATACCATCGATTATAAATTGCACCGATGGGATAATTGCGATATTTATATATTGAATAAAAACTTAAATTCTGGTTTTTAGAAGAAATTCAGCTGTAGAATTAAGCTTTCCTCTCTTGTAACACTTCACTTTTCCTAAAGCACTTTTCCAATACTTCTAATCAGTAATTATTATTAATCGGAGCAAGATATCATAATAGAAAGTAGCAGTAGTTTGGACTATGTCAGGATGGTACAAGACGCTTGTTTCAAAAACTGTAAGCATGCACAGAAAGAAATGTTGAGAACTGACGAGTGATGGTAGTCAGGATTTACCGAACTCGTAAGAACAGATGGATTAATCTGAATGGCCTGACAGTTATAAACAGAGAAACGTTCAGCGGTCAATTATATGATTATCAAAGAATATGTTGAAAATCACTGAACCCTTGAAAATCAGTAATCAACAGTTATCAGTTGAAAACTCACAATTTTTTCGCAATATATTTCATTTTATTTTTATTTGTGAATTCATACCCTTCTTAATGCATCCTCTTCAGCAGTTCTTTCGAAAATGGTAGCCACGGATATTTTCATTTTCTCATCAAATTGTCGACTTTCGCCCAAGGTAATTGGCATTCCTCCATCTGATCTAAGCTGTGATGAGGGATCTGTGGTATGCTGAAACAACCAGACATTGAAATGCTTCAAATGACAATATATGTATATGGAGTCAGCAAATAAAAAGCATTCAAAAGCAGAACAATTCCTAAAGTATTTGAATACGGTGGTTAAGAAATAATACAAGCTCTCGAAATGTCAATTTTTGACATATTGAAAGATATATTTTTGAAGTGAAATGCGAAAAGATTCCAAGAAAGTTCTAGCATGAAATAATTAACCTAACCTGACAAAAATCATTACAACATAAACAAGGAAATTGATCGTTGAAATAACGTCGGTAATCCAAATTCAGATATTATATGAAGGAAATGTAGAAATTGTATAATTAAGTACTGCTACATACTATGCTACCAAAAGGTGCCGTAGAAGTGGTGTTCCGTCGCCCTTGTTCAATATCCTCCATTACTGGTGTAACAGTCTGTCGTTCCAGATCTTGCCGATTGATTTCTTTATGAGACGTAAAATCTGTCACTTCTCTTCCTACTGGATAGTCATGCAACACCCGCATTGGTGGCGCTTGCATCGGTTCTAATTGCATTGCATCTTTATACTGAAGCGGTGGTTCATCATATTCCGGTGCTGCTATCCAAGCATCCAAATTCGATTCGCGGTTTTTTGAGAATTCTGCAATGGATTATTATAAATAGTTTGTTATTGCAGAAGATTAAATGAGTACTGTAGATTCTCATTAAAAAGTTCTTCAGATTTTGCTTCTACATTTAAATCTCACTTGTTTTTCAATTTTTTGCTTCTTAATAGGACACATAAACTGCTGCCTAACATCACACATAAAATAATAAGTCATGATTTCTTTTTGCTTTTAATACACACACCAACAAAGTGAATAACTATTAAGGAACTATTACTTAAAAACAGGACTTGTAAAGCTAAAAATGAGAGATTCAAATTTTACCACGCAATGTCATTGGACGGATGTCAAATAAATCTTGAACTGTTACCACTCTATGTCTTGATATTTGAGGAATCATTTCATTGCGTGTATGCAGCAAGTCATCAATGTTATCAATCTGGGCCTGAAGCTGTACCTGAAACATTTGAGGAGTAGCCTAATTTAAGATGAATTTATAGATTTCAATTAAAAAGAATGACGAACATGGAAAATATGGCACCAAACTCTACTTTGTTAAACATAGTTATTTCGTCAATTATGCTACCATGTTTGCGACGTTTCTTCTTTGGAATTAGTATTTGTGAGTCGTGCACGTCGCTCAGTTCAAGTACCTAAAATTATTGATCGTTGAATTCTGGAATAAAATTTTAAGAATTAACCCTGAAAAAAACTACTTGTTAAAAACTTGTTAAAAAACCACACAAACTTCTACTTTTCTAACAAGTAGAAGTTTGTGTGGTATCTAAGTAGTAATTAGAAAATGGATAGTATCGTATTTCAAAATTTTTTTTTTTTTTTTGTTTCGCCGTAATGCCGAATGCGAGTTTTGGCAAGGAAAGTCAAAACTAAAAGATTGGTATACCTATAAATTAAGTCATCAAACAAAAAAATGAAGCATAATCATAACAGAAATTTACTGATGAGTATGTCGGATGCTTGATTTCTGATTCTTTTAGAGCTTCATCTGATCCCAAATCATATTGTCTCTCCTTAAGCATCTCGCTTTCATCACTCACTTCCATCATTTC